GTTGAAAGAATACACCGCGCTGACGATTTTATGGTGACCGAGAAATTATCCATGGCGACGACAGAAGATTACGAGGTATGTGTTTCTGTTTGTTGCGATTTGTGAAGTATCTTACTAATAGATATGCTGATTCGTTAAATTCAATTAATTACCTTATATTTTCTTTTAATTATTGGGGTTTATATTCTGGGGTGTTCATAGATTGATAATGATAATATGGATTAGGGATTTGTTGAATTTAATCGGTCTTTTGATAATTCTGTTTCACAATTATCAATTTAATTATATTCAACCCTAAACTTAGTTGTTTTTATCATATAGTCAGCTATTTTATGTATTTATGAAGGGCGTAATTTGCTTGTAGATTGAAGAGAAAAAACAAGCTGCTGCTGATGTACTATTCCAATATTCAAAGTTTGTGATGGCTTGTATTGGGAATCAAGCTCGACCTTGTGACTTGAGATTGCATTTGATGAAGGTATATCTAATTTTTTTTTGTATAATTTGGGTATAATGTTGTTTAATTTGATTGGGGGAATGAACTTTCTTTTACACTTGCCCCAATTCAAGCGATGTTGATTGACACTGATATTTGTGGTTCATTTGTTCAGGAGATTTCTGGGTTGCCAACTACTCTGAAGAGAGACTCACCTTCTCAAGGAACAGCTTCTCCTGATGCGATGGGTGAGTCTTCAAGCTCAGGCACAGGTAAAGTGGAAAACACCGACAGTTTTCGGCTACAATAGTTTAAAGATGAGTTGTGGTTAGTTGTTATTTGAGGTGTTTCTCTTTCAATTAATTAATTTTTTTTTTTTTTTTTTTTTGGTAGTTACCGAATATTCTTTTTATATTGTGGAACATAAAATGTCATCCAGTATTGACGATTTGTTAAATCAATTTTTTGCAATCAATTATAGAGTGATTTAGACTCCATGACTTCTTGTTTCTAAATTTTCTAGTGGACAGAATCCCCAAGAAACTTTAATGCACACACGAATTTGTTTATATATTTATTGATACGTGTGTGATGAAGGGTTTTTTTGTTATTGCAGATCTTCTTGATTCTTGTCTGAACCTGATCACACTCTAGGCTATTGAACTTAAAGTAGGTTAGTCCATGGATTATGTGAGATCTTTAAGCATTAAGATAAGATTTTCCTGTTGAAGAATGTATGAACTTATAATCAAACAAATGTAACTGTTCGACTAGCTAAACAGTGGTTATTGCGCATACTTAGTCATTAAAGTAAAATAAGGTGCATTTAACATAAAGGCTAAAGTAGCAGAAACACCTCACAGAATGCTTTTGTTCGTATGTGACTGCAAAACTTTTTTGTTTTGTTTCCTAGTTGAGCTACATGACTAGGTGGTTTGTACAATGAAATGAATTGGATGCTTCACCTTTTCCTCCTCTTATTGTTAATCCACATCTCTGGTTGAAAGTTTTGTTATGCCATACAAAGAGGAGAAAGATTACTATCATTCAATAATTAACAATTATGGTGTCCATAAAGAAAAGAAGAAGAAATTAATTATCTTTTCAGGATATAGGCAAATATATTTCCACTTTTTGCTTGAACAATAGATACATATGAATTACAGAAGGGAATTTACCAATAGTATCTATTAATTAATTTTATGTTTGTGTTTGTGGTTGCCCTTCAAATTCAAAATCTGATAACTTCAAGCTTCTGTAATTTAAACATCAATTCTCAAGCCCGAGAACAATTGCAATTGCATCTATTGCTGCTATTGCAGCTGCCCTCTTTATCTCTTTTCAGCTTGAAGCAATTAAGAGCATGGGACTTCTCTTTCTTTGTTTACAAGTTGCAGCAGGGGGTTTAGGTGGTTGTTGACAGGGCTAAGTTACTGTGAGCTGAAGATTCAGTTCTAGACTCTTTTCTCTTTCTGCATTTGACTGGTTATTGCACCTAAATCTTTTAGCACCCTCATTCATAACAATTGCTTCTGGATTTTTGTTGGTGAGTCGAGGGATCAATACTTCACTTGCATAGCTTCGTTTTTATAGTAGATATTGATTTCATTATCTGTTCTTCTGGAAAACCTTCTTGCTAAAACAGACCAATTTAACAAGAACACAAACAAAATCCTGTTTGATCTTCTTTGTCAAAATTAAATAATGAGAATCAATAAAACTTTGTTTGTTGCTTACCTGTTACCAACAATAGTGAGTAGTTTAAACTTAATAATAATTTCATCTTCTTCATTGAAATTACCACACTTGGTATCAGGGCATATCTGGTCGCTTTACCAGTAGTGGCAACTCTTGCCACAAGAAAGAAGATCAGCTGCTTTTGGGACAGCTGTAGCAGATTACTACGTGAGCTTGAATGTAACTGAAAAGTTCTTCACTGATCCAGTCACCATTGTTGGTGTGACCCTGCTTACAACATGAACACCGAGACATGGTAGTACCAACAAACTAGCAACAAGTAATGGTGTAGTTCACTAGCTTTTCATTGAATTAGAATCCTCTTGTGATATAAACTACTTGAGTCAGAATATCTTGTGAAATGTGTTTTATCTTCATTATGTGTGGGGAAACTATCTCTGTTATCTTCTTTTTCTTTCTTTTTCTAAATTGTTTCTGCTAACTACCAAACTTTGGTGTTTTGTGAGAGGGTGTGGGATCGTGTTTTTTCATAATCGTATATGCACCTATAATCATTTATACATCCTGCATAAATTGGAGGGTTTATGGAAGTTTTACAGAAGTTGCTTCAAAATATTAGTCTGTAAAATTTTGAAGATAAAACTTATTGATACTAGGCATGCAATGTAGAAAAGATTTGAACAAGATTTTAAGTTTACTGTCCTCTTGCATTTATGAGTTAGATACTCTTTCCACCACACATCAAGTTCTTGTAAACTAAATATTATCTGGTTTAAATATGGAGTTAATGTGGTGATTTTATCCACTAATTCACATGTATGATCTTTCATATCTTTAATGGCAGCATTGAGTAACATATTCTTATCAACTTCACAGATTTTGTAATGTAGTATTTCTTTAATGGTGTAAGACAATGGTAAGAGCAGGAAGCAGTACTCTTAGAGAAGCCATTGCCTAACTAAAAAAAAACTCTTCTTATCCTATGTTTGAAGTTATCCGTATTTCTTTTCTTTTTGGATGCTCTTCATATTTATACATAGATAGAGACCGGGATTTTCAACTTAAATTTTTCACAGAAATTATTAACACTAATTTTTAAATTAATTTTTTTATTAGTAACCCTGTTAATAATTACACCAAATTCAAAATTCAAGTTCTTTTATTGTAATTTTTTTATTAATTTAATAAACCGATCAAGTTTAATTATAAAATCTGGCATTTGTAGTATTTGCGTTTCTTTTTTTTTTTTTTCTTGTGTCTGAGTCAGTTTGTGTATATCTCAACTAATCTCTCAGAGTCCTAAAGTTAATAGTCGGGTAATTTTCTAATGGTCATTTCTATTAGCAGTCAAGGAGAATCGAACTCAAGATTTTTTCAGTAATACATATAAGAGTTCTATTTGACCACTTGATTTTGTGCTTACAAAAAATTCTCTTATTCTTTATTAAAAAAAGAAAAATTATTGATAATTTTTTTTTATTATTATTCAAATGGGGTGTTAAGAAGTAATTGAGTGTATTTAATCATGTCTTTGAATAATTCTCTAGTCGGGATCTCTTGATATAATTTTATTATGATCATGCTGCATATATATACTATTGGATCTGAGTTGTAAAATATCATTTTAATTCAATGTGAAAAATATATTGGTGAATATGTTTGGTCGTGATCAAATATGTATCAGAATGTTCTGACGAGAGAATCAGGAGTGTGCCCAAAAATCATGTTCCCATTCCTATCATTAGGTAAATATAAACTTTGATAGGATACCAAACATCACTATAATTTACCTAAGCCTCTTGGGCAACATAAGCCCATGAACCTTATGTCATTCATTATGGGCTGCCAATGCCCTCTAACTTTAAGTAATGGACTAGCTTTTAACACTATTTTTTTTTTTTTGTTTTTTTGTTTTTTTATGATTGAATTTGTCTAAATTAATTTATGTACATCTCAACTAATCTCTTAGAATTTTAAAACTATCGGTTAGGTAAGAGTTTCAGTGACTACTTCTATTAACAACTAAGGTGAGAATTGGATTCATGACATTTTAAATAATATACCTAAGAGTCATTATAAGTCACCCAAAAGTAGTTTTAACACCATTCTTATGTTGTTTTTACATGGAAGCCACAATCTATTAGGTTACACAATTGATTTTGTGTAAAATTTAATGATATTTTTACTTGGAAATAAATAGTTAATATAGTGAAAGTTGAAAAGGTGGTTTTGATCTTGGATGGTTCACCAAGATACCAACTGCAATCATAGAAGAGTAATGCTACAGTTATTGATGGGTGTGTACCAAATTTGTACACCGAATGACGTGATAAAATCTTGACCGTTTATTTATTATCGGTTAATATTAATCAACGGTCAGGATTTTGTCGCGTTATTCGGTGCACAAATTCGGTATAAACGTTTCGGTAACTTTATCATTTTCCATCATAGAATTATTCTCTCTTTCTTTTTTATTTTTTTGTACGTAATCAAGCTGTCTAAGTCAGTTTACACTACTAATCCTCGAGAGATTTTCTCTTTTGTTATTTAGTTTCTTATTAAAACCATTTTAATATATGATGGGTTTAAAAAATCTTATATGCAAAAGACTATTCTTACTATTATCTTATAATAATCATGCGGCTTGTTTAGAAATTTAACCAGGTTATTCAGAATTGTTCTTTGTATAAATTACTAGGCCCAGCTCAGAGGAGAGCATCAATCTGTTCCCGGAAATAGCGAAACCGGTGCTGGTCACATTAACTACTGTATCCAAACATAGATTGTGATCTATAACAACTAACGCTTTAACTCCAGCTTTTAATTACAAGCTCGCTGTCTTTACTCAGTTTCAAAACCGTTGAACGCAAAGCAAAAATGGGCTCCAAAAACAAGCCGAAGAACAAAAAGATTATCAGACGCTCCGTACACTCGGATCCTGAGTTCCTGAGTGTTTCGAGGAAGAAATCTAAGCAGAAGATTCAATCTCCATTCAAACCCCAACATGGAGTTTGAGTTTTCCTTGGGTCCCTACTACGAAACAAGCAGGCCAAAAAAGAAGCTCAAAACTTCTAACTATTCTCTCCGTCATTACGAAAAGAATGATGAAGAAGAAGAAGAGGAGAAGGGAGAGAAAGGTCCAGGGAGTGACAGTGGAAGGGAACAGGAGGAAACCTGTGACGTGGCGAGAAAGTGGAGGTCGGAGGATGATTATAATGACAGGGATGAGAGTAGTAGTTGTGATGAAGTCCGAGTGAGGGACTTTGGTGAGGTGACTAGTATGAGTTGTCATGAATGTTATGAAGAAGTTCACAGAAAGAATTTTCATGAGGACTGTGAAGGGAGTGAACAGGAGGTAAATTTTCTACCGGGCTTTGCTGTGTTAATTCAGCGTCAAATATTTCTGTTTGTTAAATTCTGATTCATGTTTTATACTAAATTTATCTGAACTTATTTTTGTTTTGTTTGTGGAGCAGCCCAAGAATATTATACCCGAAAGTATTAAGAAAACGAGCAGGCTTGCTCTTCTTGATATGGATTTGACGCAAGTGAAGGTACGCCAAAAAAAAAAAAACCCTACTAATTCTCTTGATTATATTGCAATTTTTTTTTTCTAGAAATGAATTAGTTTTATGGATGATATTGGCAGTTAGTTTTTGGTTTGGTTATTATATAGGCAGCTGATTTGTATGCGATACTGAGTTCATTTCTTCCCAAAGATGGGAAAATTCTGCGTGTGACCATCTATCCATCCGAGTGTGGAGTCCGGCAAATGGAAGAAGAAGATGAAGTTGAGCATTTTGTTGGAGTAACTGAGGATGAAAATGATAACAGTGATCACATCCACGAGGATAAATTACATGCTGAAGAGAAAAGGAGGCTGAGGTGATTGAAATTCTTTTCCACATCTGTATATATTTATACAAGTAAAATCTATCTCTTTCTCTCAGATATTATTACGCTGCCGTGGAATGTGATTGCATGAGAACAGCTAACTACATCTACAACACTTGTGATGTAGCAGGCTTTGAAAGAGCGTCCATTAGATATATTCCTCACTGTATGGAGTATAATTATCCAGCTCTGGATGTTGCAATAGGGGTACGTGTACGTGTACTTTTGGTAAGATATGTGTAAATATATGTGCAATTAACTTCTCTGTGTTTCATTTTTCAGAGGATGATAATGAACTAGATCGTTCAAGGACCTTCGATCAAGTAGCAGCTGATATTTTTGGAGAGGAGCCTTGGGTTGAAGAGAGTACGGAGGGGGGTGAGAGGAAAGGCGAAGAAGAAACAGAAGCAAATGCGAAAGGGGGCAGAGCTTGATTTATTACTGGCCGATGACAGTGGGATGGAGAATGGTTAAAAGGGAAGTAATTTGAAACATGAACAAAGCCAAGGGGAAATGAAAAAGTGAATTTCACTACTCTTGAATACGCATAATATACTGATACGCATTGCAAAAGGTATGAACAAATATAGATCAGAATCCTTGACCTCTTTATCTTTTAATTGTAAGATAATGCATTTGACAAGTTTTGTCCGGTTTGGTACAATGTATAACCTCTTAACTCACTATGTCATATATACCTTCCATTTATGAGTTTAACTGAGTTCATATATTTTGGCATAAACTTTTCTTTTGTTAAGAAAACAGCTGCTTCTATTAATTATATTTCCTTTCAAGTTCAAACAACACTTCCAAACAGAAAAAACTCCGTATTTGAGAAAGGGGATGTCAATATGGACAATTTTTCTACTGGGACTATCTTCCCTTAAAAGATAGAATTTTTTATTTTTTTTATAGCCGAGGATATCCAGACTAGTTTACACGTATCTCAACTAATCCCTTAAGTCCTTAAAACCACCGAGTAGATAAAAGCTCCAATAACTACTCTTAATAGCAACCGAAGAGGGTTATCGACGTCGATGTCTGTGAGATCTAGCCTGGAATGTCAATGTCGATGTCTGTGAGATTTGACCGAAATCGAACCGATATCAGCCAAATCTTGGGTAGATTTGGAATTGACTCAAGAGACGATTGGGGTTCCATTTGGGGGGTCGTCGTTGCCCAATTTGTATTTGAGGAGTGTTTGCTAAATTTTAAACCTATAGGGACTTAACTTTATTTTTAGGGGTATATTTGCTAAATTTTATAACTTTTTGTCAGCCGGTTTGACCAGTTAAACCGGTCAACCCAGGACCTGGCAACGTTGCCGGGCTCCATCCCGGGTTGAGTTTTAAAACATTGAAAAATACAACTACTGGGGATGTCAATGGAATAACAGTTAGAATCCCTGCTCCTCCCTACAATTTTATTGTGATCAATGGATCCAAACTCATGCGGCTAGCTCCAAATTCAGGCTTTCATGACTGCAAAATTCAAAAGCAGTAACAAGTGGTTCCAGTTGCCAAAAAGTAAACCACACATGATATAAATAAATTCTGAAATGTGAAAGAGCAAGGTGAAGTACAACGATAGAAAAACTGAAAAATACACTCAAATTCAAGTTTCCTTGGGAGGACCCTTCTTTGCAGCCTCAGCAGCAGCTTTTTCTTCTTCAATCTCGGCTACAATGGCATCAATTTCAGCTTCATCAAGTTGCTTTAGACCATGCTCCTTTGTCATCACAGCAACTTCTATGTTTTTCCCTCCACTTTCAACAACCTATCAAGAGAAATTTAAACAATTACACTTCTCAGAAGATATTCAATTGTTTATTACTGTAATGTAATCAAATACTGTACTCTTGCTTCATAACTGCGTTATACTTTGCAGCATAACTTAACATTAAATATGATAGCCATGTGAATGTACATAGACCAATGTGTAAGTGCCAGTGGCATCCTAAAGACATTGCCATCTCGGGTGTAAAAGCAAGTTTGAAGAACATGTGACACTTTTAGCAGCGTCATAGTTTAGCAGGACAGTAACCCTGAAGGGTATTGCTTTGGTATACACAATTATAAGCCAAATGATTGATTTTTTATTTCAAGTGATTGCATGTGATTGAAGCATTCCTACACCTAGTAAATGTATAGTTGATATATCAGATACAATCCATTGAGAAATAAAAACTTCCAAGTATACTAATTGCTCACTATGTTCCTTTGCAAATGGTCGTACACATCTAAAAGTGCATAGTACCTTTCATATATCAAGAATGAGACATCCTTAAAGAAGCAACATTTATGTATAAAAAGGGAGATATAAACAAATAACTTCTCATATAAATAACCAAGCCAGAATAAACAAACCTCAAGCAATGCTCGAATAGCAAGCTTAGTAGTTTCTCTCCCAGAAGTTTCTTTATAATTCTTCTCAAGAAACTCCCGCATTGAATTAGAGTTTCTTCCAGTTGCATTAGCTTTCCAAGCAGAAAATGTCCCAGAAGGATCAGTCTGATACAGTGCTGGTATGCCAGTGTATGGATCAAAACCCACTATCAGAGTAGAAAGACCGAAAGGTCTCACACCGCCACTCTGTGTGTACTTCTGCTGAAGACCAGCAATGTAACGAGTAATATACTCAACAGTCGCTGGATCCTCAACAGTCAGCCTATGGCTCTGACATTCAATCCGAGCCCTATTTATCAGGACACGAGCATCTGCTTTCAACCCAGCACAAGCCAATGCAATGTGATTATCCAAGCTCACAATCTTCCTAACCGACCTGTAGAATTATGCATTAGAAAACACATCACAAAAGTCCAATCCACTGCAACACTAATTAAATAAATCTAGATACCAAAACTAAACCGAACACAATGTATTTCAATCACGGGTACAATTCCAACATCTAATTCTGTAGCATTGATATTAAACTTCAACGAACAACAATAACACACGCATCAATTCGATTCATAAAAACCCTAAAAAAGGGAGGCAAGGTTGAAATTTACAAAAAACCCTAACAAAAACCTAATTCTTATTTATGTTTATCCAATAAAGAAAAACAAGAATAGAATATGGAGAAGTACCTGGAGTCTTGGAGCTTGGCAGTGGATTTCTTCTCGACGCCGAGAACGATGGTGTCGGTGCCACGTACACCGACGGCTGCGTTGCCTTTGCGCACGGCTTCCAGAGCATACTCCACCTGGAAGAGATGACCGTCCGGTGAAAATACTGTAATAGCTCTATCGTATCTGGCCATTGCTTTTGTTTTCTTTTTGTTTGATCTCTCTCAATTTCTTTCTTTTGCTTCTGTTCGTGTTTGTGTTTGCTTAATCTGTGTTAATTGATTCAGCGACTTACTGGCCAAGTCACTCACTTGAATATGATCTGCTGTAGACTGGTCATGCTAGTTACGTGCGCTCTCCAATAAGATGTTGCCATATGGACTTGAAATATTGGACCCACTTGTTTTTTGCTAATTATCAAGGGTAGTAACACCATTGGAACAAAATTCTCTTGGGAAGTAATAGAAATCTCCGGTAAGTTTTAAATCTGTTGGGCTCTTTCATAGGCCTTAAGATGAGAATCAACCCCTCTGGGTCCATCAGCAACTGCCGGTTTCACTCGCCGCCAAAGTTTCTTTAGCCATCAGCAATTCGGCCCTTGTTTCATAAACAAATACCAAGATTGCACACTTGGTGTTATCGGTGCAAATCGTTAGTGCTCGTCGATAAGCATTTCTGCTTCAATGTAGTTGTTCGCTGCATCAATGCCCATCCCAAGTTCCCTGTACAAACATTGACCCCAGTTCAGTCAAAACCATACTAAGCCATTGAAACAAAATTTGTACTCGAGCATTCTCACAGTAATCGAGTTGCTTCTTGCTCCACAGAGACCTGAAATTTCTTGCCTTGAGATCTGGCAGTCTTAGTGCGTTTCCCATTGAAAGCAGCCGTGTTGAATCAAATACAGCTTGTGTCTCAGTAGTGCTATTTGGTCCATCATCTTCCACATTCTGTACAATAATTTACCCAAAAACTAAAATCAGTACTCGTTTGACACAACAAAAAAAAAAGAATACAAAATGGGAAATGTGTTAAAACCTTTGTAAAGTCCAACAGTGATATTGTCAAGAGAATCTGGGCTTGATCCGAACAACGACTTCTCAGTGACATTGATGGCTTCAAATGGCTTCTTCGCCCGGTTCTGTTGCTTCATCACAATAGCCATATCTTTCAAAGCACTATCACTCTATCCCCAGCAGTATGGAGCCAAAACAAAGGAATCGCCTCTCAGGGTCTTTATCCACCCAACTAATCATACAAAGAAAAAACCAACATGAAGAAACAGAACCAGAGAAAAAAAAATCAACTAAATCAAAACCAATTTTAAAAACACCCAATCTTACCTGAAACATTATTGGCCCACAATAAGGAGTGTCACCAACTGGGACTTTTGGTATGGCATGAAAGGACTCCGACCGTGTTCTTGACACCCCAAGAGGCTTCGCCGGATGAAGGAGCGATTTTGGTTGGCCTAAACCGGGAGGAGCGTTCCACATATCTTGCCAACATCTTTAAACCAATTTTTTTCTTCTTCTTTTTCTAATTAGATTAGAGTATTTGTATTTCAGAGATTTTAAAGATGAAAGAGATAAACACGAAGTCTCTGTGGAGAAGAAAAAAGAAAAAGGAGAGAGATTTAAGAGTGGGGAGGCAGAGAGTGAAGAGAAAAGGTGTGATTAGAGAGGCTTTTTAGGAGAAACTTTTTGAAATTTTCGACCGTTGAATTACCGTTCCACCTATAGCCGTTAGAACGAGACCTCCCAATAATATACTCAGAAAAGCGGCACTCAGAAAATCATTATTTAAATCGCCCCCAAGATAACCGTATTACGCATTTTTGTACGTGTCCTCTATTGATTATTCTATGAATACCATATAGAATTGAAAATTTTGCCAATAACACCCTTAACCGAATCTATTTAATTATACACTATATTTTTTTCGACACAGATTTCCATGAAACGACAAAGATCATTCAATTATATAATCATTCTAAGTTGTTAATGGAAATACAACTAATTATTTGTAATTAAGTGAGAGTGTTCGGTTAGCTATATGCATATCAATAAGCTTGGGAGTTGTATATTTTTTGATATCGGGGTTGGTTTAGGCCGCTCAAGGTTTGAACTTAGGACCAAGGAAAAAGAGCAAATCTCTTGACCACAAACTATACTTTTAGTTTTGGAGTTTATTTAATACCCTACAAACTTAATAGATCAAGTGAGCACAAATGGTAACATGCCACTTGTAAGACTTTGAAATCCGAATCCGGGTAACCAAACTTCCGAAGATATTATTAGACTGACAAACAACACATAAACAAGTAAATATCATCAAAATATTATTTAATTATATTCTCTTGGTTATCTGACATAGTTTGATTATAAGTGTTTTTATGTGTATTCGTATCTATAGATGGGTGGGTATCGCACAAGAGCTACGGAAGAAGTACCGTACACAAGGTGTTCAGGAATCC